GGGGGGCTTTGCCATGAGTGTCCAGAGGTCCTGATCCCCGCTGCCAGAGCCGGTGAGTGCAGGACTTTTCTTTTTCTTTTTTTTTTTTTTTAAAGTTCCAGGAGGATGGGGCCAGGCAGGGCAGCCATGGGGGCTTCTCCCATGGCTTCTCCCACCCAGGAAGAGGGAGGCCAAGTCGGAGGAGCTGCCCAGCTGTGCCTGCTTCTCCCCAGATGATCCAAATCTCTCCAAATCAGCACCGAATCTTCCAAAGCTGATTCGGCAGAATCGATTCAGTACAGTGATCCAAATTGAATCATTGTCCTCCAAATTGGTCAAATCCGAATCAAATACTTCCCTATTTGCACAGGCCTACTGTTTGAGCACAAAAGTGGCTTAAAAACACTTTAGTCTCCCCCCCTCCAATTGTTTACTATGTCTTTTAGAGCTGTAGCACAGATTCTCACTCAGGGAGAGTGAAAATATGATATATGAATTATGAAAATATTTAAAAATAATTTTTTTTAAAGAGTCTTAATTTAATGTTTTTAAATATATATATATATATATAGCAGCTGCCTGAGGGAGCTCCCCACTTGCTGCTGCCACCACCACCACCTGCAGGAGCTTGCTGTACCCCCCCAGCCTCCAGGGACACACAGCATTCATGCCTCCATGGCTGTAGTTATATAAGTGTCCCAGGAATTGAACCCAAGTCTCCTATGTGGTAGACAAGGATTCTACCACTGAACCACAGGGGACCCCTAATATTTAACATACTGAAGATTTTAAGTGAAAAGTTTATATGTTCCAGGTTTTCTTTGGATTTAACTAAGCTAGAAAAAGGGGAAAACAGGACTTCATACAAGTTAAACAGGTATAGATGACCAGAGATCCAGATTTTCCTTTGCCATGGAAAAACACAGGAAAACTCATCAGGGGAGACCAGTGGGAATTGGGTGAGGCTCTGTTGCCCCGGGCACCACCTGGGGTTACTAGGAATTGTTAGAGAGAAGATTCAGGCTGTACATCAGGAGATACTACTTTACAGTTAGGGCTGCCAGACTCTGGAATGGATTCCCAAGGGAGGTGGTGCTCTGTCCTACCTTGGGTGTCTTCAAGAGGAGGCTGGACAGATATTTGGCTAAGGTGTTATGACCCCGGCACTCATTCCCGCCTGGGGCAGGGGGTCAGACCTGATGATCTGTTTAAGTCCCTTCTGACCCTAACCACTATGAAACTAAGCACTATAAAAACATGGATTTTCTCCTTTAAGAGTGAAAAATGCAGATCTTCTCCTGTAAAATAACAGATTTTCTACTTTAAAAGAAAAAAGCAGGGCTGCAAGAGGCTGCTTGGGGCTGGGAGGAGCAGAACACAGTGGGGGCACCATGTGCTTGTACATGGGCACACATGCATGTCAGCCAGGCAGGGTGGTGGAAAGCAGCCCCCACAGCTCCCTCCAGGTAAGTCTATGGGGATCAAGAGGGCACAGGTGATGTATTAGGAGTCGAAGGGGCACAGGCCACCCCCAGATTTTTGTGCCCACAGCGGGGCACAGGGCATGAGGCTGCTTCCAGGCTGGACCAGCTTCAGGCAGGAGCTGCCTCCATGGCACAGTGGGTAGGATCTAGCATAGGAGGGAGCACTGTGTTGCCATGGCCATCCAGGTGAGGTTCCCCCTACCCACCCAGAAGCAGCAGGGACCACAACTCTGCACCACTGCTGCTGTGCCTCTCCTTGGTGGCCATGGCAGTGTAGCAGTCTTTCCTGCACTGAGTCCCACTCACTGGGCTGTGAAGGTGGCTCCTGGCTGGAACTGTTCTGGGTTGGCTGGTCTGGCACCCCCCCACACACGCATCACCTGTGCCCTCCCCATCCCCTCACATGTGACCTGTGCCCACACCCCCTTTCCTACACACCCCCCCTCTTCCTCATACATTGGCTGGGGGAGGCAGCAGGTTGGAAGTAAGGGGCACCAGCAGGGCTGAAGTATGGGAGCCTGTTGATTGGGAGTGAGGGGCACCAGCAGAGTCAGGGGGCTGTAGGTTGGGAGTGAGGGGCACTGGTAGGGCCAGGGAGCTGTGGGTCAGGGGTGAGGGGCACTGGAAGGGCTGGGGGTTTGGGGAGATGTGGGCTGGGCGTGAGGGGAACTGGCAGGGCCAGGGGAGTGTGGGCCAAGAGTGAGGGGCACCAGGAGGATTGGGGGGCTATGGTTTGGGAGTGAAGGGCAATATGGAATAAGCAGTGGCAGGGCATGAGCATATAAGGGATGCTCTGTGCCACAAAGCAGTGGGAGGGACAGCCTCAGCTGGACCCATGTCCTGGTGAGCAAAGGGGGCAGGGGGAGTTCCAATTTGCCATATAAAAAAACCAAAATCAAATGCCAAAAAATATAGATATTTAGAATTTATTTTATTATTATGATTGAGGTAGTGGTAAGCTTTCAAATGCTTTAAAATTATAAATATATCCAAAACCCATTGTGTTCAACTGATACTTATAAATATAGTGACATTTCATTTTAATCACATAAAATTGTGGAATTTGGGTTTTTAAATCAGAAAATTTGTGATTTTTATCAGAGAATTTTTAAACAGATAAAACCAGGATCCCTGCAGACGACAGATTTTGCCAACATTTTTCATCTCTGTAACCATTTTATAGCTTCATAATGTTGGTAGCAATTACTGGGTTGGATGGATATTTCTAGAAAGGTATCAAAATATCTGCTCCTGGAGGGACTGGAGCTGAAAGGCAAAGCACCCCACCTTCTCTTCAGACCATGGTCTATAGAAGCAAAAGGCCCCCTGTACTTTCTCCAGACGAGTGTGACCTTGGTCCCAGGGAAGTTGGGGACTGGGAGGAGTCAAATGTTAGGGAAGTGTACAGATGTTCATTTTTCTGGGATAAACTCTCCCTGAAGTGACCTCTGCCAGTTTGGAGATGGTTCTCTCACAGAACCACTATTTTTATTCTGAAAAAAACTGTGAATGTCTGTACACTCATGCTTTCTACCAGGAAAGCTGTGATTCTCCCAGTAGAAACATAATATCTGCATGTGGTTTTTGTGTTATTTCAGAGTAAATATTTCAAACCTGCATTTAGAATATTTGTATTTCCTATATTTAAAAAAGGTATATTAGCTACATCTGTTTGGTATGACTTTATCTCATTCGACCCAGGAAAAATTTAGGACCTGATTCTATTCTACCTCTTAGGTATCTAAGTGGCACTTAAGCATTTAATTTGGTCAAGACAATAACTGTTAGACTTATGGTTAGGATGAAGGCATGTTACAAAACTAAGTCACAAAAAACACTGTGAATGAAAAGAACCCAGCCACCTTTTACACTCATGATTTTTCAGGGACATAAGCACACTGGAATAGGATCACATTTAAACAGTGAAACAGGATGTGGTCTTTCATATTTTTTTGAACTGTGACATCTCAAAAATAACACTTCAGAATTTAAGGTGCTCAGTCTGCAGTTAAGTGCTAAATTTTGACCACTGGTCTCTTTATCAGATTATGGTTCAATCTCTTTATCAGCCCAAATTCATCTTCCTAAAGCATTATACACTTGTAAGACTAGTTTGAAGTCAGACACAAGGTAGAGCAGGGTGGTCTCTTGGAGACTACCTGGTTCACAGAGGTATAATAAGCATTTACTTGACAAAGTAGGTTGCTACCTATGAAAGCTCAGCTTAGTTGGTCTCTAAGCCATTCTGCCCTAACTTCTGCCTGTCATGTAGCTAGAAATAAAGCAGTAATGTTCAAAAGAGGAACATCAGGAGAGAATTTTCAAATGTGAGATCAATTAGAAGTTGCATTCTGACAAACATAGTTTTCCACATGTTATGTCAAAATAATAATTAGGGACAGATGTAAGCTTACAGCTCTTGTTTGGAATATATAAAGTTACGGTTTTGTTTTCTTATATAGCTGGTCATTATTATATCCTTGTTTATAATTAGGTTGCAAAGGTTAAAAAAAAACTATTAAAAGATGTTTGATAATTTTATAGGCATCTGTAATTATTTTCATAGCTATTTATACATACGTTGCCTTCCTAATATATACATAATTTCTAATACTAAGTGACACTTTTTACTTTTATAGCCATAGTTTAACGTCTTTTAATATTGTTGGTAATTTCAATAACATAATATAAATACTAACCCAATAACGTTCCAGTAAACTTTCCAATTCATTTTCTTCTTTGTCTGTAACAGTGGTCCTATGTCTAAGTTCTAACTTAGGAAGCATTTGCCTTAGGAGAGCAGTGCATTGCCGATGCCACCTAGTTGGTTGTTGAAATCGCCACTCCATTATTTTATTTTTTAAGGTCTTTTCAATCCTGAGATAAAGGTTACAAGGTGTTTCAGTAGTTAAATTTAACAAAATGCCAGGGACCCATTAAACTGAGTTTTTGGTTGTAGCTATGTTGATCTAAGGACATAGGCAGGCAAGGTTCCTTGAGTAGATGTGATATCTTTTATTAGACCAACTGAGTAGTTGGAAAAAAGTTCTTAGCAAGCTTTCGGGCACAGTCACCCTTCTTCAAGCATAGGAAGTCCCTGCTGTTCTGAGACTCCACGGAATTAAAGAAGCTAAAAGTGTGACAGGATGTCAGTGAGCATGCTAATTAGTGTACTCCAACCAGACTCCACATTTTGTGTATCAGGATCTTTGTGCTTCAGAATAGCAGCAGGGACACTTTAACTAGTTGGACAAGCTTTAGTTAAACCACCCCTACCACCATTTAGATGTGCAGGGACATGGATACAAGAGACACTGTGGGCGCTTTCATTAGAGCGGCACTTCCCTCGCCCCCCAGAGCACCTGTAAAAACACCTCCAGTGTCTGTCCAGTTTAGCTAAAAAAGAAAAGGCTGGTATTTGGAGAATTGAGATTTGAGGGAATTCTGCTAGCAGGTAATTCTGAGAAGATAAATTGTGTTAGGAAAGCAAAGGACCATAGAACAGATTTCCTGAAGTGCTGACCAAACTCAGATCCGAATAAGGACATGTGCTTTTAATATTTAAAAAAGTTCATACCTGTTCTGGAGTTCTTCCACCATGCTTTTGCTAGTAGGGGTGTAAAGTATTTCTTTTGGCTGAAATGGTATAAGAGATATTTTTAGGTGCCAAACATATATCTCAGATATAGTCAGAAATTTGGCCTAATCTTCAATGGAGTATAACCGTAGTGCAAGCTGTTCAAAGAGAATCAGCAATTTTCAGCCTAGGAGGATCACCCCACTGGCCAAGAGGCTTCTATATTTTCCCTACTGCTGACGGAGCGTATGGTTGGAAGGAATGATCATGGCAAAAACTTCCATATAGTGCACGAAACCTTCATTGTAATTAGTGTCCTTTGGAGCTGTTAAGGGTGCATAAATCAGAGTACTTATGAGGTTCTTCTAATGTATGCCTGAAGAATGAGTCCTGTACATAACAGTCATATGATCAGAGCAGGGACAAGATAAGCTTTCTTCTGTTACCTTGGCATGTAAACACAGTCCTCCCATAATCCTTCATTTACATGGCATGAGCATCAGCAGTAGACAATGTTATGACCCATTTGCTTGTATTGCTTTAGTTCAAACAAGCAAGTGCCTCTCTCAGCCTACCTTATTTGCTTTTGTTACCAAAAGGTTACAAGATTAATCTCAAACCTTCTCCTTGGATCTAGCTACTAAGGCACATCCCAAATCTTTTTACTAGAAAGTCATTCCCAAAGTACATACACTCAGATGAAGTAACTAGTCACCTGCTCCTGGATCAACATAGTCCACATTACCTTTTCTCAGCAGGATCAACTGCTGTTTACAGTGCTGTTTTCAGGCAAATGGTCAATTTGTTAGGGTAAGTTATTAGTAACTGTGGTCTTTTGAAACAAACATAACAAGTGATAATTATTGCTGTGATTTATATTAACTGAGATTAGAATTTGAAGAAGTTACCTGTACAGTTGGTGTTATTTTGTGTTGATAATTGTATGGCAGCAACTGTTTCCAAAACCCTTCCTTTGAAATGTCAAAGTTTACATACATTGGTGAACTGTTTCTCTGCATGTTGAACCAGACCTATCAAAACATCAATGTAAAATTTGATTAACAATCTAAAATGTGGCTTTAAATTAAAAAATGTAAAATGAAATATATTATAAAATAGTATCTTTAATTTTAGATGAGTCTACACAGGGCCAGATTGTATAAAGGCACTGATATTGGAAACACCTAAAGAAATCAAATGGAAAATGTATACACAGAAGACTTGCAAGAAATGTGCCAATTATGATTATCAATTACAAAATATGAAAGTGAATGATATATTAGTAAAGTCAATGGGATAGATTAATCTAGTCTGACCCCACTATGTGTTGTACTGGATTTCATAAATAGAAACTTCTGTTCTAAAACAGAAATCTAGTTCATGTATAGATAGGTTTGAAAAGAATGCAGTCAGAGCTTTTATATGTTAATTTCAAATGTCAGTCTATGGAATATTTCCCCCCTAAATCTATTATATTGAAACGGTTTTCAGATAAACACGCACATCAGATTTCACCAGTATCTAATGTTATGTAGCTCCTTAGTAGGAAAGAACTGATTAATTACTTCTGTATATTTGTTAGGAGTTCATTCAGGGATCAAATACAGAATAGACATTACTATATTAGAATGAACTCTTATACACAAACAAATACTATGGGTGGGCAAAACGGGCCCTATTCGATTCAGATTCAGCCGGAATTGGAGACAATGATTCGATTAGTTCATTCGGATCACTGTCCCCAATTTGAGTCAGCCAAATATGAATCTGAAGATTCGATGCTGATTCGGAGAACCAGTGATTCGGACATAGACACAGCTTTAAATGTTTTCTCTACATACCTTGAGGTACCAGGCGTGGCTCATGAATGCTGTGATCCTGGGGCAGATGGAGCATCTCACAGGAGCATGGGGGGGAGCCCCACGTGCTCAGCAGTGAACCTGGAAGTGAACCGGAAGTACTTCTGGTCCATTTCCAGGTCCGCCAAGGAGAGCGCAGGGCCCCCCCTCACCCCCATGGCTCAGTTATTGGCTGCAGGGGGACCCCAGGTTCCCCCCCAGACCCAGGAGGCACCAGGCACCGAGCCGGAGGTACACAGGGGAGGGGGGCCCGTGCTCTCCCCAGTGGACCAGAAGTGCGTCCACTTCTGGCCCTGCTGCCAAGAGTGCTGGGTAGCCCCCTGCACTTCTGTAGGACACTCCATGAGCCCAGGCATCGCAGCATTCATGAGTCACCTGCTACCTAGAAGTATGTAGAAAAAACATTTAAAGCCGTGTCCATATCCTAATTGCTTAATCTTTCCAGATCTCTCTGAATTGATTTGGAAGATTCCGATTTGATTCACAGAGATTAAAGGGTCCTCTGATTCTATGTGGATTCACAGATTTAGCCACCAAATTGAGCCAAATCTCCGCCAAATCAAATCAGGACCTGAAGCTTCACACAGCCCTAATAAATACACATGTACATATACACACACACAATATCCGAATGACTGCCCAACAAAAATACAGTAGTAATTCATCAATTATTTCATATTAATAGGTAGATTGTACAGTACAGATCATTTTATGTTAACTCCACTCAGTTTGCTGCTAAAACTGTTTTCTTAGCTACCAATTAATATTTCTCTTTAAGATGTTAGGAACTCCTTATGGAAAAATGTTTTTCTCACTGAAGTCAAGATTCAAAACAACACAGAATGAAGCATATACTTGAAGAGTTCTGGTGTATAGACCTGAGATGCTTAGAATATTTAAAATGAAATAAAATTAATGTTAAAACACTCTCACACAATCAACTTTCATTCAGTAATTTGAAAACTGTTTAATGAATTCTTGATCACAGTACCTAAATTTGTGCTAATCTCATGCTTCATCATGGTAGTAGAATTTCTTCATTTACTTATTTCAATTTTTGAGAAATAGCATGCAATTAAAGTAACCTAATCTCCACTTTCATAAAAGGTATAAAATCATAACAGACTTTTGGGAGGGTCACCACAATATTACACATTTTAAGTTATACTAAAAATACTGAAACACAAGGCCTGAGAAGAACCTCATTATTTTTTTTAAATGTTCAGTATCAACAAACTTTGAAATAATTCTAAGTATTTATCAAAGAAGCAAAATATTCATAGAATCAAAGAACCATAGGACCAGAAGGGACCTGTAAGATCATCAAGTCCAGTCCCCTGCCCTGGGCAGGAAGTTATTGGGCTCAGACAAGCTCAACAAGTTGCCTGTCCAGCCTCATCTTGAACACCTCCACCAAACTTGCAGTGCAGGGAGATAATTAGACCCCTGGATATCCAGGGGTCTAAAAAAAGGGAAGTTTAAGAAAGCAGGTCTGGGTCCTCCATGGAGATGCTTTGGCTGCCAGAGTGTCTCTATGCTTGGCCCTTCACCCTGGTGCTGGTGAGTAAGATGTCAGGGGGCTAGAGGAGGGGGGAGGGAACCATGGCATGGACCCCCAATGGCCCCGCCCACACTCCCAGCCCCCCCAAAC